TCGATTCAACTTCACCATTTCCTACAGACCCGGATCGAAGAACATTAAACCTGACGCTCTCTCTCGTCTTTTTGGGTCTTCTGAGAACGCCTCGACCAAGGAGAACATCCTTCCTGAGGAGTGTGTGGTGGGAGCTGCGGTCTGGGGAATCGAACGGGTCGTCAAGCAGGCCCTTAGCCGGACCGTCACGCCCCCTCGGTGCCCTGACCGGTCACTGTTTGTTCCCCAGTCCGTTCGCGCGGCCGTCCTCCGGTGGGGTCATTCGTCCAAATTGGCTGTCCACCCTGGAGTCAGGGGAACTCTTGCCGTCATTCGGCAGAGATTTTGGTGGCCCACCATCGAACAGGATGTCCGTCGTTTTGTATCCTCTTGTCCTGTCTGCGCCCAGACCAAGTCTGGTAACTCTCCCCCCTGCCGGTTTGCTCCGCCCTCTCCCGACTCCATCGCGTCCTTGGTCGCACATAGCCTTAGATTTCGTTACGGGTCTCCCTCCATCCATGGGTAACACTGTCATCCTTACCGTGGTCGATAGATTTTCTAAGTCCGCTCACTTCATTCCGCTTCCTAAACTACCCTCCGCTAAGGAGACCGCTCAGTCGGTGGTCAATCACTTTTTCAAACTCCACGGTCTTCCCACTGACGTTGTTTCTGATAGAGGTCCGCAGTTTGTCTCTCAGTTCTGGAGGGAATTCTGCCGACTGATTGGCGCCACGGTCAGTCTGTCATCGGGATTTCACCCCCAAACTAACGGGCAAGCCGAACGAGCTAATCAGACACTGGGTCGCATGCTCCGCAGTCTTGCGTTCCAAGATCCTTCGTCCTGGTGCGAACAATTACCATGGGCGGAGTACGCACACAACTCCCTGCCATCGTCTGCAACAGGACTATCCCCCTTTAACTGCTGCCTTGGGTATCAACCTCCGCTTTTTCCTTCCCAAGAGGTTGACGCTTCTGTTCCGTCTGTAGAGGCTTTTATTCGGAGATGCCGTCGCACATGGAAGAGAGTGAGAACTGCCCTCTGTCGTACCAAATCACGCACTCGCTTATCCGCTAACCGTCGGCGCGTAAGGGCTCCGAGATACGTTTGCGGGCAACGCGTCTGGCTGTCGACCCTAAATTTACCATTGCAGTCTAGCTCCCGTAAACTTTCATCCCGGTTCATCGGACCGTTTCCCATTATTAAGGTTCTTAGCCCTGCGGCTGTCAAACTCAGGCTTCCCCCAAAGCTCCGTCGCATCCACCCGGTCTTTCACGTGTCGTGTATTAAACCCGTTGTTCGGATGCCCACCCGTCCTGTTCCCCCACCACCCGCCCTGGCCGGTGGGTCCTCTATTCATACTGTCCGCAGACTCCTTGATGTTCGCCCTCGGGGTCGTGGTTTCCAGTATTTGGTCGATTGGGAGGGATACGGTCCTGAGGAGAGATGCTGGATTCAGTCCCGGGACGTCCTGGACCGCTCGCTCATCGAGGACTTCCACCGCACCCGCCAGGCTCCGCCTTCGGGAGCGCCAAGGGGCGCTCGTTGAGGGGGGGGTACTGTCATGATCCGGATTCCTCCTTGTTTTGTTTTTCTACACACACACACACGCACACCCAGCTGATACTCATTAACACACCTCCTCATTCCCATTCATGGATTCACTCGCCCTAAACGCCCACAGCCGCTTTCTATAGCAATCAACTCTCACACTGATTCTCAACTCACCTGTTTCTGCTCACTGCTTAATTTGTTTGTCTATTTCTAACCACTGTTTCTCTACTCCCCTGTCAGACTGTTGAACGCTGAGCTGTTGCCTTGTCCATGTGTTACCAATCCAGCGTTGTCTTGTCCCGGACTGCGTCTGCTGACGGCAGCCCCCTTAGTTCGAGTTTGGGAAGAATAAAAGACATTTTTCCGCACCTCTGCATCTGGGTCCTCTGTTCTCCACGTAACACTTACGGTGGGCAATACGGTGTTACAAGCTCTTTAAGATAAGACGGTGCCTCACCAGCGAGTGCCTTGAAGGTGAGGAGAAGTACCTTAAATTCTATTCTTGATTTAACAGGGAGCCAGTGCACAGAAGCTAATACAGGAGTAATATGATCTCTTTTCTTAGTTCTTGTTAATACACGTGCTGCAGCATTCTGAATCGGCTGAGAGGCTTAAGATAAACCTGCAGCAACCTGATAAAAGAATCACAGTAATTCAGTCTAGAAGTAACAAACGCATGAACTAATTTTTCTGCATCACTTTGAGAAAGGAAGTTCCTCATTTTTTATATATTACATAGATGAAAAAAGGCACTCCAAGATTCTTGACGGTGCTGCTTGGTACCAGAGCAATTCCATCCATAAAAACTATCACGTGACAGCCGGCTTCGAAGGCGCTCTGGGCCTATCAAGATAAGGTATTTTTTCTGGAGGTTAGGCATCCAGAAAGATCCGCGGTCATTCAAGATTTTGAATGTCTCCAAGACATTCTTGAAGTCTAACTAACTGGTCCGTCTCTTCTGGTTTGATCGACAGATACAGTTTAGTATGCATTGTTATGCAGAAGTATCGTCTGCATAACAATGTAAGTTTATGTGGTGTTTCCCGATAAGATCGCGCAAAGGAAGCCTATAGAGGGTAAATAAAATCGGTCCAAGTACAGAACCTTGTGGGACTCCGTGACCAACATTGGTGGTCTTCGAGGATTCACGGTTTAGAAACGGGGATCGATCCGATAAATAGGATTTAAACCAGCTGAGTGCAGTTCCTTTGATACCAATCAAATCCCACATGGAAAGAACCTATATGTGGATATATGCACATATAGGAAACCTATATGCAGTATATATGTACATATATACGCATATGCCACATATAGGCGACCTATATGTGGCATATATGCGAATCTATGAAACCTATATGCAGTTTATATGCTGCATATATGCACATATGTGCTGCATATATGCCGCATAAAGACTAAATTGTGGTGCCTATATGTGCATATACAGACCATATAGGTCTCCTGTATTGCTTATATCCACATATAAGCCCTATGTACATACAAGATATGTCTTATACAGCTCATGGCAGGATCTGGTCATTATGTAGCTCATATCTCACTGTCATACATGATGCCTAGCTCATATTATTATCAAAGCATTAATTAAGAACTAAGTAAAATAAAAATTCTGAAAGAACTTGTGTAAATGAAAACACGTGAAATTAGTATCACGTGTATATGTGATGTTATGGCAATTAAGTGAGGAGATGGAAAGCTCTGATGGCTACACATTTTCAAATCTTTCTTGTATGAAGATAGTGGTAATGTATAACAAAATGGCTCGTGTTTTTATTTTATTTTGTCAATCAAGCCTTTTTTTTGCAATGTCAAGTCACTTATTCACATTACAGCTCATACACATCCACACATTCACATTAATGCAGTTTCTAAATGAATATGGCTGAAAGGTCATTAGTCTAAATGTAGCAAAAAAAAAAGTAATCATCATCATCATCCCATATCTATCTGAGCATTTCACTGTGGTTAATTAATATGAACACAATGTCAACATTTCCGTACACGGTTTTAACGAACAGACACTTTTCTTTCCAAAAAGAAGAGCATGCGAGAAGAGAGGAGATGAGAAAAGAGAGAGAAAGAGAGAGGGAGGCATAGAGAGAGCGGGAGACAGGAGGGAGGTAGGGACACACAGACAGATAAGGAGACGGAAGCATTCCCGCTACGCCACATATGTTTACATGATACCTGTAGCTGGTACCTTTGTAGCTAGCTTCTAGCATGTTACTTTCGTTTACTTTTTCGCTTAGTTCTTTCTGGAACGGGTGCTTCGTCGTTGACGAGGTACCTTTTGTAACGTACTGGATCCATTCTTTTTCTTTATTTGTTGCTTATTTACCACAGACCGTAAAGCATAATGGCAAGCATGTATCCACTCTGCTCCGATCGGCCGCTACAGCGTCGCGTGCGAATGACGTCATCAACCGCGCTGGGCCGCTTGTTGATTACGTCATTCCCATGCAGGCGCGATCGCGCCGAAAGATAACGGCTGGGACTAAGTATAAAGTATTAAAAATGGAGACATCAGCGTTCCGCTATGTCCTACTTGAATGGACTGAGGGTGATGATAGTGGGGCGCATAGTATTTTGGCGATGGACTGTGTCCGGAACTTTTCAGTTCAAGATTTTTTTTGCCTCGACTGAACAAAACAAGAAGCTGGTGGAATGGCGAAAAAGCCGCCAACCCTGGTCGGTTCACCGAGCCAAAAGTATTGACGTGGCAAGTAAGTTATGTTACATTTCTATTATGTATATCACATTAAATTTTGCTTGCACTTAAAGAAGTGGAAAATGGATCTTGTTACCTGACTAGCTTAGTATGCTGGCTGTTAGCTACCTAATTTGCTAATGCTACCTAAGTCTCTTAATTGGGACTAATGCTACGTTTGGTAACGTTAAACATGATTAGACAAACGTTTGCAGTAAACATTTCAATTTTATTGCACCAGAATTTGAAAAACCTCCAAATTAAACTGCGTGAGATCGAGGTGGAGAAAGAGGGCACACAAACAAAACGTCCTCACATCCCAAACTCAAAGTACATTGAGCAGCAGGGGAAGACTGAGAAGGCTTCAAAAAAAAGGTAACTGACTGCACCAATTGGTGCTTTAGTTCAAGTTATCTCCCCTCTCTTGTTTCTTAATGTGTAGGCATGTTTGTAGGTTTGTAATTGTGTCATCTATGATGATTTAATGTGCTTTGACAAGATATATGTGAAAGCTGGTGTAACGCAAGTCAATAAGAGTTGGGCTAAAAGTCAGTGTCTGTGACTGTGTCTTTCTGTCGGTTGACAATAAAAAGAGAGGGTCTTCCAAATACAAGCGCCAGGAGGGTGAGAAGCAGGAGGAGGGTCATGACAGACTTTCAAAGAACAAGGTACACTACCAGTCGTCCTGTGTCTGCTGTTACATTACAATACATTCATGGTTCCTCTGTTTCTCCCTCTCCCTCCAAAGGTTGCCGTGAAAAAGAAAAATCTTTCTAAATACGAGGAGGAGGGAGAAGTGGATGATGAGGCGCGTCATGACACAAAGAACAAGGTACACTACCAGTCTGCATCCAGTGTGTGTTATTACATTGCAATACAGTAAAGATAAGTAAGACTTTTATAATAAAGTGCATTACCAGTAGCTGTTACAAGGTATGACACCAGCACAGTAGTCAACTTTGTCCTCTCTCTTTCTCTCTCCCTCCCAACGGGCCAGAGAAGAGGAGGAGCATATTGGGGATGAAGACGACAAAGTACCAGCCTCAAAGAAAAAGGTAGCCTAAATGATGACATCCGGTGTGTGGTGTATGTTTGCTAGACAACCAGTTACATATAGCCAAGTGGGGGGATTTCTGCCGTAGACTTCTTGCCACCTTCCTCTTACATTTCTTATGACATCCTCCCAGAAAATCCAAATGCAACCATTTACAAAAAAAGTTATATAACAATTAGCTGTTGTTCTTCTCTGTATTTCTCTTTCTCATAGAGCGCTGCTGAATTTAGAAAGCAACTGGACGAACAGATGTGGGAGAGAAAAAAAATTGAACAAATGCAAAGAAATTTGCAGGAGTTGCGAAATGAAGTTCCGTCTCTCAAAAGTGAAAATGCACATCTGAAAGATGTTCTGGAATGGGAAGCAACCTGAATGGTACAAAAACATGTTGCTAATCTCTTCTGTCCTTAAAAAAACAAAAAACAAGTCAGTCATATTCTGTGGAATGAATCATGTTTGTGTGCGGGCATACCATCGCTTTTTTACACCTCAAGAAAACATGATGTGATGTGTGTATATATATAAAAAAAACTCTTGCTTACTCCACCTTCATTTTACCTGCCTTTCATAATAATTTTGAAATTTTACTTTAAGGTGGGAAGCCAACCAGAGGGGACGGGGAGCAGCTGGTTGCCCTGGACAAAATAAAAAAGGCAGCCATTATTGCTGAGTAAATGCATAATGTGTTGAGAAGGGAAAACAAAACTTTTAAGACCTTACAAGTTCACCACTTTAACCATAGCCTACTTGTATCAATGTTTATTAGGCATCAATGGAGACTGCATAAGGTAGGGCACCCATTATTGTTACTGTATCTGCTTAGCACCTATAATACGAATTCATTGCTTCCTCACTTCTTGATCCCACCTTTCCTTTTCTAAAACCACATTTCTGGGGTATTGCGCTCAATGTGCTGTAAGGTGTGTAGTCTTCTATTTTGTAGAACATATAGTGTTGCAAATAACCTCATGGCATATTGTTGTTGTCTGAAGTGTTCATAAATAATAATATTCACCCCTCCTTCACCCTTAATCCCCTCTGTCCTGCCTTATTTTGTCTATGCCGGTAATTGATTTGCTTGATTTTAAAGCATACCTTCTTCGAGCATGTGTGTGTGCCATTCGCTCATTATTGTTCCAATATTATTATATTATCTAATTATTTTTGTCTTCTCTAGATGCTACATTGAAGAAGTGGCCGGCAGCCAGCCGAGGGCAGATAGGCACAGCTATAAATTCCAAGCTCGCAGTGATGCGAAGATCCATGAAATTATTTTTTTTCCTTTCCATTTTTTGTCATTTTTGTTTTTGTACATTTTGATAGTCCTTAAATAAATAATGTAAATTTCTACATTTTGGGCTTTTATTTGTTTCCTAGTAGCTATGATTTTAATAATTGTACTAATATACAGGTGAACATATGTGCATACATGCGCACATATATGTACCTATATAGGTACATTTATATATATATATATACATGCATATATGTTCACATATATATATATATACATATATATATATATATATATATATATATATATAATATATATATATATAAATATACATACATATATATATATATATATATATATATATATATATATATATATATATATATACATATATATATATATATATATATATATACGTATATATATATACATATATATATATATATATATATACATATATATATATATATATATATATACACATATATATATATATATATATATATATATATATATATATATATATATATATATATATATATATATATATATATATATATATATAATATAACATATATATATATATATATAATATAACATATATATATGTATATATATATATATAATATAACATATATATATGTATATATATATATATATATATATGTATATATATATATATAATATATATATATATATATGTATATATATATATATAATATATATAATATAACATATCATATAGGAAAACGGCCAATTTCATATATGTCACATATATCTAATACCTATATCAAAACATATATGTTTATATAGGTTCTTTCCATGTGGGATGTTCTAGTCTCTGCAACAGGATACAATGATCTATAGTGTCAAATACGGCACTGAGGTCCAGCAAAACAAGAAAAGAGATGAGTCCTTGGTCCGATGCAAGTAGAAGATCATTCGTAATTTTCACCAGTGCCGTTTCTGTGCGATGATGCACTCGAAATCCTGACTGGAAATCCTCGAACAAAGCATTGTTTTGTAGAAAGTCACACATTGATTTGCGATGGATTTCTCAAGGATCTTAGCGAGGACGGAAAGATTAGAGATAGGTCTGTAGCAAGAGTAGGTGTCTTAAGAAGAGGTTTAATTACAGCCACCTTGAAGGACTGTGGTACATGTCCTGTCAACAAAGACAGATTCATAATATCAAGTAAAGACGTGCTAACAAAAAGAAAAACTTCCTTAAGCAGCTTAGTTAGAAATCAGATCCAAGAGACAAGTAGAAGATTTAGACTTCGAAATTATAGAAGTCAATTGATAGAGGTTGATTGAAGAGAGGGCATCCAAGCAGGCATCAGGGCCTACTGCTGCATCCAAGGTTCCTACATCTGAGGACAGATCAGCACTGGTTGAAGGCAGGAGACCATAAATTTTCTCTTTGATAGTCAGAATCTTGAAATTCATGAAGTCTACTACTACTGAGGTCCAAAGGAATACACGGCTCGACAGAGCTGTGACTTTGTCAGTCTGGATACAGTGCTGAAGAGAAACCTGGAGTAGTTTTTATTTTTCTCTATTAATGATGAGTAATAAGATGCTCTTGCGTTACGGAGAGCCTTCTCATATGTTTTAAGGCTGTCTTGCCAAACTAGCCTAGATCCTGTGGTGATTTGGTGGAACGCCATAATCGTTCGAGTTTCCACACAGTTTGCTTTAGGGTTCGGGTTTGAGGGTTATACCTACAGTAGGAGCAAACTTTCTTCTTGTTGCTATTCTTCTTTCCAGAGGAACAATAGCGTCCAGCGCCACTATCAAAAAGATCAAGTAGATCAAGTTTGGGAGAGGGCCAGAGAAAATTAAGATGTCCGACATTGTTTCAGCGTATGTAGACACCGATTCCACTCTAATGACCTCCGAGCGACGAAATCGGGAATCATTACCGCCGACGTCAATTACAATTTTACTGTATTTACATTTATCCTTAGCCAGCAGTTTACGATTAGACTGAATTTCGCCCGCTCTGGCCCCGGGTATACATGTAACTATGGTCCCTGGTTTCGCTAACTTGGTTAGACGTTCACTTTTGAACCAATTTGCAAAGTCTTTTCAACATCGGCCATAAACGTCTTTTAAACGTTGTTTCAACGAATAAATTGCTCGCTGGAAACTTACAAGTTACATACTTGGTCACTTGTTAACAGCCCTTAACAAGGACAAATACTGTCACGGGGAACTCTAGGGGAGGACTCGGACGCAGAGTTAAGGTTCAGTAGAAGTTTTTATTGTCCAACAAAAAACGCAGGGACGACCCTGGAAACGTAAAACTTCTCCAAAGAGAGAGGAATGGAAAATGCTCCAGCAAAACTGAGCGAGCGGATTAGGAAACGAAAGAAAAAGCCAAACTCTCGCTTAGCGAGGAAATAACAAAAAAGTCTATTGTCTAGACTATTGAAGGCACTAAACAAACGTGAGGAGCTGTGGAACTATAAAAGGCTCACGACCATCTATGGAGATCTCAAGGTGGCGGAGCAAGAGCATAAACTGTGACCTGGGCTTAAATCCTCTCTGGGGCGGGTGTGCATGGCAAAAGGACATAACACACTGGCACAGGATAAGGGGAGACGCAGACTATTTACACATGAGGGAAGTGTGGGAACAGGTGGACACGATTAGGAATCAGGGAAGACAATAAGACTGGTGACACACGAGGAGGGGCCAGGAACCTGAAACGAGAGGAGGGTTAAATATCAAAATAAAACAGGAAGTCACAAAACAACCATTGAGACGGGACAGAAGCCCAACTTGACCTACAGGTGTGACAAAACACATTTTATTAATTTTTATTTATTATAAATATAACACAACACTATACATATCAAAACACTTTTCCTAATTAAAAACAAAACAACAAAAAATATATATTTCAGGGAAATAAACTATGGAATTAAAAGTGCAGAAACTACATGGACTAGTTTAGAATTCTGTGTTTCTAGCCCATTTTTTCTGAATCATTGGAATTTCATTTTCAGATTCTGTAACAAGATCTGACTGAGTCATTTGAATTGGGATAGTATACCTATCCCATCTCCCAGCTGCATCTCCCTCACTTGATGATTCTTTGTGTAAAGGGAGTCAGAATGCGCAGAACACCCCTCAATTGCAGATTCCTCTGGTCAACGTGTTTTATATTAGAAATGATTCTAATATTGAGAGTAGTAAGCCAGGTGTAAGGCAGGACCACTCCAGGCACAACCTCCATCAGATGCAACCTCCATCCACAAAAACCTGTCAGGAGGGAAAGCGCAAAGACTTCAGGGAAAAGGCAAAGTTGGTAATTTGGGTTTATGATGACAGTAATAATAAAGTGACTAATAATAATGATAACAGCAGCGGGTGTGTTAGAACCCTCATTTATAGAAGTCTCAGAACCCTTGTGTGTAGAAGATCCTTCGGGTCATCAGTTGTGATCAAAGTAGCTACAGCATCGATTTTGGCTTTAAGCGCCACTCCATCTTGAAGTCTTAATATTATTTACTTCTAACATTATAGACAAGTAACGCTGGAGAGACATTCACCAGGGGACTGTACCTTTAAGGGAAAGTGTTTTGGTTAACGTGCGTGTCCGCAGTAGTTCTCACGTGTTGTTTTGTATTGTTGAAGTGGAGAGTAAAGCTGACTCAACGCATCTCCGTCTCCTGTCTCGTCACTTTTCACCCTCCACATTTTGGTGACCCCGACGCTTGAACACGGCTGATCATGTCGAACAACGACGGTGGTGAGAATGCTGCTGCTGCGGTGCCGGCCGTTGTTAGCGGTGGGGCTAATGTCGGCGCTATCTACGCAGCCACAATCAAGCTACCGGACTTTTGGCAGTGCAACCCGCGGCCGTGGTTTCAACACATCGAGGCTCAGTTCCAGCTGAGAGGAATTACGCAGGATGTTACTAAGTATTTCCACGTTGTTTCGGCCTTGGATGCCTCGACGACGGCCAGGGCTATGGCGCTGTTGGAGGCTCCTCCAGCTAACGGAAAGTACGATGCACTCAAAACATTTCTGTTAAAACTCTTTGAACTGTCTGAGCTGGAGAAAGCGGACCGTCTGCTGTCCCTGAATGGACTTTGTGACGGCAAGCCGTCCGAGTTTATGGAGAGGATGCAGGCTGTGCTGGGCGCGGCGGATCCCTCGTTCCTCTTCGCCCACATCTTCCTGCGGCAGCTTCCAGCGCCCGTGCGCACCGCGCTGGCCTGCTCCGCCCTCACTTCCTCCATGGACTATCGGGCGCTGGCGTTGGAGGCAGACAGGATTTTCCTCGCCAACCGGCAGCAGTTTGTCCACGCGCTGCTACCCCCCCAGCACACGTCTGCTTCGCTTCCACCCCGGACGGCCCGGACACTGCAGCGGCTGTAACGGCCGCCAACAGCGGGAGGACGGGTGGTGTTATTACCATTCCAGGTTTGGGGCCAAGGCCAAGCAGTGTCGCCAGCCTTGCAGTTTTGGGGCCCAGGGAAAAGCCAGGGCCGGCGCTCATTAGCAGCTATGGGCGCTGGCCTTGACTGCAAGCTGTTATTCGTCGCTGACACCTTGTCCGGCCAGCGGCTGCTGGTCGATTCGGGGGCCCAGCGCAGCATCCTGCCGGGGAAGTCTGTGGACACCATGGCTGGCGGACATGGCCCCCCGATGGACGCTGCTAATGGCACGCCCATTCGTACCTACGGCACGAGGTATGTGGAGGTGTGTTTCGGCGGGCGGCGTTTCGGCTGGGACTTCGTCATGGCCGCCGTGTCTACGCCGCTCCTGGGCGCGGATTTCCTGTGTGCTTACAGACTGTTGGTGGATGTTACAAACTGCCGCCTGATAAACGCCCTTTCTTTTGCTTCATACCCTGCACGCTGGGGGGGGGCGCTTTGTCTGTCGAACACGTTTGCCACAGGTATGTATCTGTATACCTGTATCACCGCCTGCTGGCTGAATTCCCGGATATCACCATGCCCACGTTTTCATCAGCGGTGGCTAAGCATGGCGTGGAGCACTACATCACCACGATTGGCCCCCCAGTCTATGC